TTTCAGTGATCTATATAAACTTGATGTACAACAGAGGTTCCTAGAATGTTTAGTTTCAGTGATCTATATAAACTTGATATACAACAGAGGTTCCTAGAATGTTTAGTTTCAGTGATCTATATAAACTTGATGTACAACAGAGGTTCCTAGAATGTTTAGTTTCAGTGATCTATATAAACTTGATATACAACAGAGGTTCCTAGAATGTTTAACTTCAGTGATCTATGTAAACTTGATTCTTCTGTTTGAAGGTCTTTTTATATGCTATATTTTTATTTAGTATGGGCTTCAAGTTTTAACACACTTCCAATGGATCAAAATCCTGTTGCTATGGATACATCAAATCCCTGGGAAACTGCCCCAGTTGTGGCTGCACCAGCAGTTGAACCAAGTGGGTGGGCAGATTTCAGTAACTTTCCAAAAATTAATACGTAAGTATTAATTGCATTAGTTTGTGGTCTGAAATGGTAGTGTTATAAATTACTTTTAATGAAGGAAACTTTTGTTCATATTTAAAGGATTATGTTTATCACATTTTAATAATATTTACTCCGTGTTGAAGGGTTTAATAATTATATTTTATGTACTGTGTTCCCCACTCCTAAGGAAATTTTGTTCAAAGTCGCACAGTTGATGAGACATTTACTACCTTTGTAAGAGCTTCCCATTTCTTAAAAAAATGTGATATTCGTGGATGGACTAAGTAATGCTTTCTCGTTATTCAAAAAATAAAGATAAAAGTTCATACTAAGAGATTTTGCAATAACATTTTTTAATTAATTCTATGAGAAAGTAATCAATAAAGCAGTACTTAACTATGAAATCAATGGTTTGTATTTATTTATTTATTTAGTTAGTTGAGGGCAGTTTTACATTTTTATTGCTTTTTTAGTGAAGTTTCCAAGCAGTTAGGAATTTTTATGAATTGTAAATTTAAGAAAAGATTTTATAAATGCCTGGAATGAATAAAACTACAAAATTCCTACTTTATATTTGTTAATTTTTAGCATTTTTCCAAGAATGCTTAGTGTGGCTGCTATTTTCCAGTTGTGTGCTGTTGGTTTCCAAGAATTGTTCTGTGTCTGAGAGAATAGGTAGTTCACTGGTACTGTTTGGCAGTCACACAAATGTTTATTCTATATTACTGAATTTGAAAGCAATTTTTAATGCGTTTATTTATTTTGCCTAATCATTGATTATACTTTTTTTGAAATTTTTGTTTCTTTGTTTATCCTTGATGTCTCACGAACATACAAGAATCCAATTCACAAATGTTTTATATTCAAGGTTTCTTCTTTCTCACTGATTAGATTAACTCTTTCAACCTGGGCTCGGTCCCTGGGACCGACCTCCTTATCCATTTTGTGCTTGTTATAATTTCCATGCTATAACTTTTAAATTATTAAGCGAATGTTAACGAAATTTGGCAGTTTATCAGTAAACATTACAGTGCTTTCATATGCAAAATATCAAATTTTTTTTATTAAGTCTTAAGGTTTGTAAAGCAAAGTTTCTCTCATGCCTTTTTTTTCTTTTCACATCTTGCCTATCTATCATGCAAAGTAATTTTCATCTTAACATTAAATAAAAATACTTTTATGCATCAGAAAATTTTGAAATTTCACATGCAAAATCTTTATAATGCTCAACTAGTTATCAAACGTTTCTTAAGAAAAACTTTGTATTTTATCTGTTATTTTCAGTAATTAATCTCTGTACAGATTTGGTAAATTTGATCGATCTTGCATTCTAGAATGAACACAGATTATAACACAAAAACATAAATGTCTAGACTAAATAGCTTAAATCTCATAACATTATAAATTTATATATATATTTATAATTTTTATTATATTGACCTTTCACCTGGCTAACAATACAGAAGTTACAATGATGTGGCTCACGTGCATTTATGCTACAGTATCAAAAAACATAAAGGTGACCTTTGGTCTGTACAAAGTAACTTGTCTTGGTTGTGTTTTAGTCGACAAGTATTTTGTAAAATACAGTCACATTTCAATTATTATACATTATATATGTATATAGATTATTGCTATTTTGAAATAAGTTATTAAAGTTATATTTTCCTAAAACATAGAACAGTAAATAAAGAAATAAAGCAAACAATTATCTCTTCTAGTTACGACCTTTATACTCGGTTGCTGCTTGATGTAGGCTGCCAAGCCTTTAAAAATTTTGCACATGGAAGACATGAAACAGAATATTTTTTTAGGTTTTATATATACTTTTGAATAACTAAAAAATCATAAATTACTACATCAATACCATAGAATTCCACTATAATTTATCAAACGTTGTAACTAAAGCTGTATTTGGGTCTAAAAAAATATGAAATCTTGGTTTGAAAGAAAGAGATGGCATCCAAACAAGTTAAATTGGCTTAGATAGCCACTAGGGGACATTCTGAGCTTCCAGTTGGTTATTCATGTCATATATAGAAGTAAGTGTATATAAGG